TTTCTTTTTTTTTTTTTTTTTGTTACTGGGCATCGAACTTGGGTCCTTGTGCTTGCACAGCAGGCGACGAAACCACTGAGCTAAATCCCTGGCCCTAGCACCCCTTTCTTGCTGCTCACATGGCCACTCTTTGAGTCCAGGTCCTCAGTTATGTCTTGCCTGTTGCCACCTCGAAAATCAGAAGAATTCTCTTTCACACAGTAGTAAGCGCCAAAGCTACTGCAGCAAGTTATATATGAAACTTCATTCTTAGTTCTAACCTGAACACTGCAAGTTCCTTAAGTACAAAAACCTTATTAATCTTCCCATTTTTCGGTATCTGACACACAGACTTTACTGTGCTGCTGCTCCCCTTCTGGGAAGGTTCTCCTCAAGCACTCAGCACAGTGCAGCTCACTCTTCATGCCGAGCACCTTTCGCTGAGTAAGGCCTAATCGCTTCATTTCAAACTGCAGCCTCCACTCCCTCTGATTTATCTCCCTGCAGCGCACATGCCACCTTCCAGCATAGCAAAGTCACTTCTAGACTCAGTGCCTCTCCGTGTCATCGAAGCCTCAGAGGGCAGGACTTCTTCTATTTCACTGTTGCATTCCCATCACCTACAAAGGTCCTGGCACACAGAGTGCTCAACCCATTCTTGTTTAACAAGCAAATTCTAATTCTGAGTTCACAGGAACTCTTTCAGAGACTCCAGGGTGGGACGAGGATCTGGGTCTGGGTTCCAGATAACCACCCCTGACAGCTGCACTGCTGGGAGGGAGGAGTGTGTCACGTGACCAAGAGAGGGGCTAGGGGCAGAAATATGGGTTCAGAGTTCTGACCCAGGGCAGACAGGACTCTGCAGTAATTAACAAGTGACTGCTGAACGGATGAGCAGCCAAGCAGCCAGTCACGATGTGGAGACGCAAGACCCAGTCTCTCACTTTGACCTTAAGACACTGGAGAGAGACCTGTATGAAGTGGCGGGGAAGCCCAGGGGCTTTTGTGTTGAATTCCCATGCCAATTCAGTACCTTTGTCATTGACAGCAGCACTCAGCCTCATTAACTTTAAATGGTTAAGAAGAAAAATGCCTATTCTCTGGCATAGAGCATTGGAATTAATCCCGCAATGATGAATAAGCAAAAAGATAGACATTGTGTTATAACAGCATCAAACTGGATGTGTAATACCGGGAGGGCAAGTAGGTATTCAGATGCAATATTTCAAGGACTCAAGAAACTGCAGAGGTTAATATGGTACTGAGTGATGGAATCCAACAGGGAAAGGAGGAAAGAAGAGAGGGAAGTTCAACCTGATGGCATAATTCATTAGTTGATATTTAATAATATACTCTCTAATTAATATTATACATCAACAACATAAGTTGATTTATTTATTTTATTCTGAAGCACATTTCTCCACAGCAACTACCTTGAGATGACATAATTTAAAATTTTTGATTGTACTTCAATTTGGTTCTCTATATTCAAGAAAAGAAAAAAATACAAAGTTCCCCTTACCTAGCACTAACAACGTCTGCCAAGGATTTCAAAATGCCTTCAACCAAGCACGACTGTTAAGGTGAATTTTTTAAATGGAGCCACAGCACTGGACAGCGGCAAAGGAAGCTAAGGTCTGAACACGGTTTCCAGCTTGGGGAGCCCCGTTCTGGGGAAGGCTGGAGTACAGACTCTGGGCCTGGGCCTGCGCTCAGGGGTGCCTGCAGGGAAGCCAGATGACAGGTCCCCCCTCGCATGACAGGGAGGCTGCCCCGATGCGATGCTCCCACTCCCATAGACACAGGAAGCAACATGTGGGCCTGAGGAAATCTGCTGCGGTCCCACCCTCTGGTTCCTGGCCTGGTGTTGCCAATACTACCAAACCAGGGCTTATCGTGGAGATGCGGGCTTATCGGGACAGCCAGGGCACATCCTAGCATGCAAAGGATGACACATATGCATGCTTGCACATCTGGTCCTCATCCACAGACTGCCTGTGAAAGAGACAGAAGGCTTCACTTCTCGGGGGTGATGATTTGTCCACACTTGGTCCACATAAGGGAGCAGGGCTCCCTGGAGGAGGGGTCCATTGCAGTGCCACACAGAAGCAGAAAGGAGCCCACAGTTAGCACTATGGTGAGAATGTAGCTGTGTGATCATTTGGAGACTATTACGGTTTATATTTCAATGTCCCTCCAAAGCCTCAGGGGCTCATAGGTGGGGCTTTGGGGCAGGTGACTGAATTATAGAGTTGTGATGCTCAGCAGTGGATTAGCCCACTGATGAATTTGTACCTAAATGTGGTGCTGGGAAGTGAAGCCTGGTTGGAGGAGGTGGGTCACTGGGTCGTGGCCTGGAAATGCCTATGTCCCTCCTTCTCCCTTGATCTCTCTCTCTCTCTGCTTCCTGCTGTCCTGCCATCCCTGCTTTCTCTCTGCCAGGCCCCTCTGTCATACTTCCATGCCTTCAAGCCAGTGGATTATGGATGGAAACCTCTACAAACTTTGAGCCTGAATAAACTTCTTTTAATTTGCTGGTGTCATGTATTGTATCTCAGCAATGAGAAAGTAACTAAGACAGAGATTTTCATTTTTCAGAAGATCTTATGGTATTACCATGATAATGGCAATTTGCCACCATCTACACTCTTAGACACTCACAATTTGTGCAATCATGCTGCACCCCACAAATGATTCTTCCACATCTGAGAGGCAGTGTTAGGCCAATAAACAGAAACAGCTGAATAAACAAAAATCTCACTACACAATTTATCTTCTGGTTTTCAATTTCCTTACTTATACTAACAATAGAAAAAGAGTTCCTGAAATTACAGATCAGATCAATTTTGAGATGGCTATTTTCATATACTTTAGCAAAAGGACTAATATGCAAAAATATGTTCAAAGAAATTGGGAAAACATTCAATGATTAAAATCTGGGTGGGGAAGGAAGGAACGGGGAATTGTTGGCCAAAGGGTACAAAGTTTCATATAGGAATAAATGTTGAGATTTGCACAGCAATATGACTCTAGTCAATAAAAATGTATTGTATATTTCTCTTCATTTCTTAGTCCTAGGAATGGAATCCAGGCCTTGCACATGCTAGGCAAGCACTCTACTATTGAGCCTGTATTATGTATTTCAAAATAACTAAAAGAATAAATTTCAAATGCTTTACGATAAAAAAACGATAGGAAGGCTGGGGATTTAGCTCAGTGGTTCTGCCGCCTGCCCCAAAAGTGGAAGGACCCAAGTTTGATCCCCGGTACCAAAAAAAAAAGATAGGTAAGGGAAGTAGATACATTACTTCACTTGATTTAATCATTTACATTATATATATATATATATATATATATATATATATATATATATATATA